TCTCTCTCTCTCCAAGATCCTTATGATAAAATATTTTAAATGTGCTCCATCCTCAAAATCAAGTCATCTGCATTTAGCAAGAGACTCATCTGATTACTTTTACTCAATTTTTTGTTGTTGTTATTCTTCATGCAAAAACAGAAAAATCCCAGCCTGCAGAAGGAGACTTATTACTACTGACTATTTCCGGTTGTACCACATCAACCTTCATCAGCAAGCAAGTCGCTTGGCACTCACTCATCTTCACTTGCAGGGCTCCGCAGCTCTCAGCGGCTCCTCCGATTCCATTGTTGGCTATGCAGCAGTAAATGCCATCATCGCTGTCTTCCACACTCAGGATGGTGAGGAGCTGCCCATTCTCCCGAATGCTGTACCGGGTGTCAAAAAGCCTGTGGGTTACACAGGGCAAGACAAATCAGGGCACCATCTGTGCTTGTTGCTTAAGTGATCACAGCCATGCCTTGTGGACACAGAAGCAGGAAGAAGGTGAAATGTGAGTGAGTTTTAAGAATAGCTGTGCTTGGTGTCGCAACATAAAGCTAGGGTATAATATCACACAAGTACTGAGTCTTTCAAAGTAGCTTTCAAAAGATAATGGCTGCTGCAAAAACCACGTATAAAGTCTATTCAGGAAAGTATATGGTGAGGCAGACATCAATCTTCTTCCATAATTCCTGGAAGAAGCATGTGCAATGGAGAACATATTAACATGTATTTCTGTACTTGCAATTGCTTTAGGTTATAAAGAAAGACTTGAGGCCTTTATAGGTAAATGAATGCAAATAGAGGCTATGCTTATAAGAGAAATGAATCAGCTCATATGTGTAACATGGTACTCTGTCCCTAGTGGAAGAGCCTGAAAGAATACATGAAATCTGAAAGGTACAATAAATATAGTAAAAGAGAAAGAAACTGAACATAAGGAACAAACAATGAAAATGAGGGAAAGGAGAAAAGATAGGAAGAAAAGAAAGGGGGAAAATTATGCAAATATATATACAGGATAGCTGAGAAGATTGTATTGATTTCCATCAGTGTTTTGAAATTAGCACTTAATGTTTGAAACTATCAGTTTGATTAACTCTGTATGCTAATATCTGCAATCTGAACAACTACATTGAAGACGGCAATATGCAATAAAAACCCCACAGTTAAATGCCTTTTATTTTGTTATTCTAAATGTGTACTGTTTCTAATATCTTATAAACTATTATTATGCTCTTAAATAAAATAAAAAATAAAAATTAGAAAGGACAAGAAAAAAATGTTTATTGAAAGCAAGCATTAATGTTTAATTATTTGACCAATCTTGCATACCTACATCTGTTATTCTGAGCAACAGATTTGGAGACAAAAATATGTAACATAACAACCATTGTTAATTTTTTATTCTTGTTTCAAAATTCTGTATCATATGTATTGTTGCATGTTACTCTGTTTCTGTCTTTGCTTTTGCTATTTGTTTTTGCTTTTGTTTTTATTTTACACTTTAAAATAAAATTAAATTAAATTAAAATAAGTGAACACAAAAAAATGAACATGTACACATAAATGTGAAAGGTTTAAATATCTGGAAAAATAACTAATAATTACTTGAATATTTATTCTTTAATTAAAAAATACTGAGTGCTTAAAAAGTATCAGACACAGCTGCAGTCATTTGTGATACATAAGTGAAACAACTTCCAACTTTAAAAACTATGCACTTCATTCATGATGTATTTAATTACATGCAGACTGTCTGTTGAGAAAGAAATTAGGGCAGCAGAAAGATATTTGAGGGAAGTCATCAACATAAAAGTGAAGGGTTTTTAACCCAATGAGGGTTCTTTAAGCCAAATATATGTGGTAAGCAGAATGAAAGCTCCCATATCTATTTCTTAGTCACCAGAACCTGCAGATAAGTTTTCTTACAAGGCAAGAAGGAGTTTGTACTTGTTAAGATCTCAAAATGGAATATTCTGGCTTATCCACATGGGCCCAGTATAATAATAAGAATCCTGCAAAGTGGAAAAAGGAGGCAGAAGAGTCAGAGAAGGAGGTAGGACAGTGGAGGCAGAGGTCAGACTGATAGCAATTGCTAGCTGCATAAATGGAGGAAGGTGCCAAAGGTTGTAAAGTGGAAAAAACATGAAATAACCCCCCCCCCAACTCCTGGACCTCTGCATTGGACTCAAGTTTGCCAACATTTGATTTTAGTTCAATGAGATTCATTTCCTACTAATGAAGTCTAGCAGTGTAATGTAACAAATTTATGTTGTTTTAAGCCACTAAGTTCGTGGTGATTTGTTTCAGCTACAATAGGACATTGATGTGTATGGTGGCATCTAAAACCATGGTATGGCTGCACAAACGTATTTTATTTCGGTCTGTGAGTCTCCCTACTCCAAAATTTCCAGGAGATTTTGCCTGACTGAGCACTTGGAGGCTATAGCACAAGGTACTTTCTCCCAGCACAAGGTAACTTTCCACATTAGAACATGTGTAATAGAAAAAAACACTGCCTTTATTATCAAGGTTAGTAACAACAAAGATACTATTTTGGCCGACCTCGTAGAGTAACGGTAGCGTGTCTGACTTCAAAGATGCTATTTTTCCTATCCAAGTTCATACTCATTTAAATATCTGTTTAGATTACTTGTGCTCCCCAAAATTCACAGGTTGAAATTCCATCCCCAATATGGTATGATTTGGAGGGAATTTCTTCGAAGATGATTGGATATGACTGTGGAGCCTCATTTGTGGGATGAGTTCCCCTAACAGAGATGCAAAGGAATTCTCTTGCCTCCTCCCTCAAGTGAAGACACGAACCCAAAGGGCTATCTCTGAACTAAAGAGTGCGCCTAGACATGAATCTTCTCACTCTTGGAAGTTGGACTTAGCCTCTAAAACTGCAACAAATAAGTTGCTGTTGTTTATAAGTTGTCTGGTCTGTGGGTTTTATTGTCATTATTGCTGTTGCTACTGTTGTTGTTACTATAGTAGCACAAGTGGATTGAAAGCATTTAGCTTACACAAGCTACATTGCCTGCTAGAGGGTTTGTAGCTCATCTTGTTACAGATTTTTTATAGAGCATTTTGGATCAGATAACATTGTAATAAGAAAAGAGCCTTTATCTGCCAAATGATCATTTCATATGTTCCACAATCTGTTTCACTCCATACTGTGGGTCTGTTATAATTTTAAAAAGAAAAGATGATCTTGTAGTCACATTCCTTGATGAATGACTCTACTTTATTGAGATTTTAGAAATATAAGAGATGAGGCTGTTTCCTATCACTTTTGCATCATGTTGTGCAACATATATGTCCAGACTAAGGATATCACAGTATTTCTTAATTACTCTGAAGTTTCTTCTAAGTTCTTATCTGGAAGCCTCCATGACTTCCCCATAGCAGATAACTCACTGTGTTTTTAGGGGAGATCTCTAAAGCTCACTGAATTTCAGAATTACATTTATAAAATGATATAATTTCCACTTACATGTTCTGGAAGGTGAGTTTTAGCACTGTCAAAAGTTCATTACTGTGAAAGATAAACTGCAAAACAGCCACAGACATTCTTACAAGAATACAGTATAATACATACTTAATGAGAATTTTATTTCTGGTCCAAGAAATTTCAGGCTGTGGGTAGGATTCCACTGCACACATGAAAGTAGCCACTTCTTCGACTAAGGCGTCCACAGTTTCAAGAGGAGTGGTGATGACAGGTGCTGAAAGGAGAGGAGAAATCAAGGAGAACATTCTAGGATGTGTTTACTACCCCTTCCTTAAAGCAGTTAGAAGTCACCAAATTCCTGAGGGAGAGTCCTATTGTCCCAAAGCAAAAATTTGCCAAAAGGAAAGATTTTTCTATGGAGAGCATTGTTTATCCTTCCAAACTACACCTTTGAGAATCAAAATATAAGGCTTTCAAGAGAGGCTTAAAATGTATTATATGAGTAGAAACGGACTCAGAATATGTCTCGATCAACATTACATAAGTAGGTTTCTCCTTTTAAAGAAAAAATAAAATAAATTAAAATTGTGAATACAAAATTTCTGTGGCCACCCTAATGAAAATCAACATGAAAGGAAGTGAGCGAGTCCGAAGAGAAGTCAGAATGGAAAAGGATACCATTCTTAACATTGTCTAAGATTGATATTTTCGCAAATTTCATAAGTGTATATGTACACACAGTACATTGATAGTGATCCTTGACAATCTTAGAAAGGAATCTAGCAAATAAGAGATTTGAAGTTTAAGTGTCAACAAATTTATAAGGAAGTTAAATCTGACTGTACATGGAATATTCAGTAATTCAGAGACAGCCTGAATAATAAGTGATAAAGCATCTTAATAGAAATTTCTCCAAAAAATATACAGATGGCTAATAATCATATAAAAAGAAGCTCAATATCACTAGCCATTCAGGAAATGCAAATCAAAATCACAAGATAATATTTCACCTCCAGTAGAATGACTATAATAAAAAAAAGATGGTAATAAATGTTGAAAAGGATGTGAAGAAACTGGATCACTGTGCATAGCTGGTAGGAATTTAAATGGTGCTGCCATCAAAGAATATGGTTTCTTTATAAAATTATATGATTCAATATTTTCAGTTCTGGGTTTACATTCAAAGGAATTAAAAGCCAAGACTACTGTTTATAGCAGCATTATTCACTGACCAAAATTTGAAAGGAACCAAAGTCTGTCAAATGAATTGGGTGAATAAAATGTACATGTTAGTACAGTGGAATATGTAACAATAAAAATAAATGAAACCTCAATTCTACAACATGGGGAAACTTTGGAACAATATACTAAGTGAGGGCTGAGGATGTAATTGAGACACAGCGCCTGTCTGACAAGCACTGCTCCTGAGTTTGATTCTTGGTAAAATAAATAGATAGTCAAACAAACAAAATGGAAGAAACCATCCATAAATGGCCATATATTTCAATTATATATATATATATATATATATATATATATATGTATATGAAATATCCAGAATCTATAGAGATAGAAAATATATTCATGTTTGCTTAGGCCTGGGTGAGAACTGGGGAATAGGAGAATTAAGAGATAAAAGCAAGAGATTCAGGATTTCATTTAGTACAGATAATGAAGGTGTTCTAAGATCGATTATGGTAATATATTTATATGTGTAATATGCATGGTTCATTAATTATATCTAAATAGATCTATTCTATTTTATGTTTACAAAAAAATATATAGAGAACAACACCCCAACCATCAAAGGAAACTTGGTGAGCCATAATGAGCCACAAGGGGGAGGAAAGACCCTGCCCACAACCCCTCTGCCATCAATGGAATCGTGGTGAACCACACTGAGCTGCAAGGGAGGGGAGAGACCTTCATAATGCCCCTTCACGATTGTGGGAACCTCCATCCAGAAGAACATATGTGCCTGACCCATCTCACTACACAACAGGATGGGCAACCAGGATGGGAAGTGCCTCGGACCTGGCAACCAGCTCATCTTGAGGAATTCAGGGTAAATCCACTCAAAGAAGGGGAATTACTTTGCATACAAACCCCTAATTTATGATTACTTCTGTTATATAATTATAGACCTTGGTACTATGATCGAAGGTACAAAATTAAGAGTTACTAGAGTTTGTCAATTAGTAAATTGTGCTTGATGCTATGATTATTACTAACTGTACAACTGTAGCTAGGATGTCACATCTGTTATAATCAGTTGCTTTTCTTTGTATAACAATATTGGGAAGGTCTGGATAATAACCTCACAATACCATACACCAAAAGCCTAGAGACAGAGCCAAACAGAAACCAACATTCCATTCTTATTTAATTAGAAAGGTAGGCTCAAAGGACAGACCCAAGTTGTTTCAGTTACTTTTCACTCATTGCTGGGACAAAATACCCAACAAACAAGATGAAGGAAGGAAAGGCTTATTTAGCTCACAGTTTATGGAGGTTTCAGTCTATACTCAGCTGGTTCCTAGGAAGAGTGGCACAAGAAAAAGGGCAGCAGTTCAGGGCAGCAGAAAACAATGAAAAGCAAAAGGAAGAGCAGCACCTGCCACTTCTAGCAAGCCTCTCTCCCCTCCTAATATTATAAGCAGGCTTCTACCCTGAAGTGGGAGTGTAGAACTCAAAAAACATCCATGACCTCCTCTTGCACAGGATTCTTATGAAGGAAGAACTCTGCCTCTCTGCTGAGTCACTTAATTAAACTTCTAAACTTCTTAGGTGACACAATGTATCAACCAGTACACAAGTGAAGAATTTCCTACACACAAAATATATCCATGGAGACCCAATCCTAGCCCAGGCCTGGTGAGTGTGTGGGAGAGCTTCTTGCTACCCTGAGGCAGCGGGACCTACTATTGGCTCCAGCCAAGGGGCAACGTGGGTGAGACCCTCTTCCACCACCTTGGGATGTCCCCCACCACTCCCTGCAGCACCTCCCTCACCCTCCCCGCCCAGTAGGAATTTCTGCCACATTCCGGGAACACCCAGACCCAGGCCTAGCCCAGGCCCCGTGAGTGTGTGGGAGAGTTGCCTCTCCCCCCTACTCCATCTTGTCCCCTCCAGGCTCAGCTCAGGCCTGGCATACAGTCCTAGGGTGTAACCCTGCAGCTGCAATCCCTGCAGAGAGTGTAAAG